AAAGAATTCAGGACCGTAAGAAACCTACCAGCTCACATCTCACGTGCCCACCTTTCACCACTCCCAAATATACATTCCAAATATCTGTATTTCCCCACAGTGATGTTAAGAGGGAGATAATAACATTCTTTTCTAAGAGCAACAGTGTATCCACTCTGATATTGAAACCGAGATTATTATTCCTGTACTTCAGGATTGCCCAATCAATCATTCCTGGAGAGTGGAACTGATAACCCGAATGCAAATAACTGAGTTGGCACTAGAGAACAGCATGTTCTCGCAAAGGGCCAGCAGCTGCCTTGGCCGGCATGCCTCGTCTGCAGTGGGAGGAAGAAGATGGTGAAGGTCAGCTGGGGCCAGCGTGGGCCGGCAGGGGTAGGTGGCAACAGAATGAGGGCAACCAAAGGGGCAGAGATGGGGGGGAGATAGGGGAGTTGAAGCAGAGGCAAGTGTGGCAGAGGAGGAGAAGCGTGAGGTCCTCGCCTAACAATGGCGCAGTCCTTGCCTAATGACCACAACCAGGATTACCAGAACTGCCATCGCTAAATGGTGCGGTCACATATTTCACCTAACGACCGCTTCGCTTAGTGACCAAAAGCGAGGACTACCTGTATTGCTGTCACAAGCCACTGGACTTAATTGGAACTGACTGTAAAAACTGTAACTTATCATTTTTTTCAGTTACTGTACTCACATTCTGTTTTTTTGTTTTCTTTTCAATTTATTTTAATGCATTTTGCTATTGTATTACTACCTGGACATGTTGCCCTAACATGTTATTTTAAGCTGCTGGTCTAAGGCTCCGATAAAGCTTATCTGTCTATCTAGGCCAGCGAGTCTCATCTCCAGCAATTTTAAGATGTCTGGTCTTCAACTCCCAGAATTCTTAGAGCGGCTGATCTGGGCAGCGGCGGCAACTACCGAGCAGATACGCCAAGGCAGAGCCAGGCTGTGTAGAGCCAGAAGGCTCCTGGGAGAGAAGGTCTGAGACCTCCAAGCTCAGATTCAGCCCCGCAGCTATACTATCTTCTCTACAATCCATGGTTTGTTTTTTTTCCTTTTTAGTAACAATACACAATAGCTTTTTAACAGCAAAATGTATGTAAGTGTGAGCAATAAAGAACTCCTATAAACGTGGCAAAAGTTCTCCAAGATCCTTGGTTAAAAGGAGGTTTAAATTTCATCTCCAAAT